GGGAGGTGCGGAGACGTGCGAACTGATGAAGGGAGATAGTGGAGGGTGCAAAAACCTGGCAGATCTGGAGGGAGGTGGGTTAAAGAGGTGGCGCCTGTCACATTGCCTGATGATGCTGAGGGTGCCTCTTCCAGCACCGAGTCTGCAGGGGGTCACGGCTGTCCGATTTTGCAATCGGTGGTCAAAAAATGAAGTTTTCCAGGCCAACTCGCTTTGATTATTCACCCTTAACCATCTCCCTTCGTCAGTTCGCATGTCTCCCCAACTTCTAGACTCTCTCATGAAGGCAGAAGTTTTCCCAAGTCAATCCTCAATACAGACTTTGTTCTTGATGGCAAACTCAAAACAGACCTTCCTAGCCTAAACACCAATTAGGAGCAGAAGGAGGAGGTAAGAAAGAGAGGATGGTGAGGGGAGAAGTAGGAGGGCAAGTAAATAAGAACCCTTCTTGTTTTTTTTTTTTTAATAGATTATTCATTTATTTGTTTTCGTGTGACTCTGTGCTTCCGTTGGCACTAGTTTTTTGCTTCCAGACTTGTCTGGTTGTGTGCTATCTTTTGCTTGCTGCTTTCTCCGCCCCTCCCCCCCCCAAAAAAAAAGTATGCTTGCATGTTTGATCTTTAGCTGAAGAGCTCAGGGCAGCACGATGTGTCACCTAGTGACGCACAGTGACTTCTGGATGCGCTCACCAAATCTGAAGCATATTTTCTTCTGAATTTGGAAAGAGCACGGAGATTGAAGAATGCGAACTTCTCGTCCTCGTTTAGTCCCAGTTCTTGATCTCAAGGATTGAGTGCAGAGTCTGCAGACTGCTTGGTGTGTACATCTTTCTCAACGCTTGATTGAACACTGCTGTGTGCTGTCACCAGGTGCTACGGTGCAGGAGGTGAAGATGATGAAGAGAAAGGGAGCGTCCGTAGGGTCCTCCCTCCTGTCACATGCGCTCTGTACGTTGCTCGGGATTACCCTGACATACTTTTTGCTAATGACAAGTAGCTCTCAACATAGGAATTCTGCAATAAATTCCCTGACGGGCAATGATCAGCAGACAAGTGACCTTATCCAGTCTCCAACCAGAACTCCAAATAGTAATTTTGGACAACCTGTGGTAGACATTGGGAGCGAAGGCGACCTTCCCACGGCACATGATTGGGATCCCCGGCCAGAGCCTGGGGATGAGGCCAGGAAGGGTCTTGCAGGTGATGGAGTCTCGACTGAAATGAAAGGGACACAGCATTTCCCACCTCTTTCGTCTGACGCACAGTCGTGTTCTTGTCCAGAGCAGCGGAAGCTGGATATGCACGGTATTGTCTTCGGCATTGCATCCTCATCGTCGATGTGGAAGGAGCGGCAGGAATTTGTTAAACTGTGGTGGAAGCCGGGGACAACAAGAGGATTTGTGTTCGTAGATGAGACACCCGAAGGGGTTACCCAACCCACCAAAAAAAGAGAGCAGGTGAGCGATGTGGAAAGAGAGGGGTTGGAAAAAGAAGGGGGGAATGCGGCTGCTCCGGCCCCAGTTGTGTTTGTCCCACCCGACCCTCTTCCTGAGATCCGTGTCTCTGAAAACATCGATAACTTCACGCAGTCACAGTCACCCATTGTGCGTGCCTCAGTGCGCATCTCGCGTATTGTGAACGAGCTCTTCCGCATGAACCTTCCAGAAGTTTCCTGGTTTGTTCTTGGCGATGACGACACCATCTTTTGTATAGAGAACCTGCGGGATGTACTTTCTCGCTATGACCCCTCACATATGTATTACTTGGGATCGGCGTCGGAGTCGCACCAACAAAATATGTACTTCTCCTCGAGGATGGCCTATGGCGGTGGCGGTATTGCAATCAGCTACCCTCTTGCACGTGCACTGTCGGATACACAAGATAGCTGTTTGCTGCGGTATTCGAAGCTGTCCACAAGCGACTCTTATCTGCATGCCTGCATATCGGAGCTTGGAATCCAGATGACGAGGGTCGAGGGGTTTCATCAGACTGATTTGAGAGGGAATATTGTAGGGCTTTTAGAATCGCATCCCGTGGCACCGTTCATCTCTGTTCACCATCTCACAGGTGCCGCTCCCGTCTTTCCCGGTCTACCCACAATCAAAGCGGCACAACAGCTTACCAAGATGATGAGTGCTTATCCTGCAGGATTCTTACAGCAGTCTTTGTGTTACGATTCCACATACAATGCAACTGTTTCCATAGCGTGGGGTTTCACCGTTCGATGGTTTCCAGGGTGGTTCACCGTCCGGGAGATGGAACGAGCAGAGCGGACTTTTTTGGCGTGGAACAATGGAAAGACTCCCGTAGATTTCTCCATCGATACGCGCGCTGGCACTGTTCCCATCTGCAACATCCCGGCCGTTTTCCAAGTATCCTCTGTTACGCCGCCATACATTGGCATGGATGGGCAACTTTGGGTTGAGAGCGAATACCAAAGAGGATGGTTGCTTAACTGGGTGCGAGCACCGCAGGATGTGGATGTGAAGAAAACAGGTTCCATTCGGAAGGAGAGTCCTGGCCAAGGCGCAAATAGAGAAACCAGACAAGAGGAAAAGGCTGGCATTGGTACTGGTGGCGGCACATCCCAGACGAAGCAGAACAGCCGGAAGAAGCCAAGCTGGGTGAAGCTGGAGGGTCCAAAGAGAAGACTGTTGTTCGGTGGGCTATGTCCAAATGGTCTACGGAGGGTTCCGAGTCCTCTTGTGACCGTTGTGAGGGTCCGTGCCCGGGCAGTGACAGAAGCTTGGTTCGACAACCCCAGAAGACAATGCTGCAAGAGCTTGAAGGTGTCAGGGAGTAAAGGGGTGGCAGAGATTGAGCTGGGACCATGTGGAGATGCTGAGGCAATAGCATGGAGATGAAGAGGGAGCCCGGAATCAGGCCATCCATACAGGAGGGGGTTCCAAGTCCTCTTGTAGCCGTTGTGAGGGTCCGTGCCCGGGCAGTGACAGGAGCTCCGTTTGACAACCCCAGAAGACGATGCGGCAAGAGCTTGAGGGTCGCAGGGAGTAAACGCGTGGCAGAGATTGAGCTTGGACCATGTGGAGATGGTGAGGCAACGGCATGGAGATGAAGCGGGAGCCCGGAATCAGACCATCCATGCATTTGTTAATGCTGTCGGTGTTGCCGTTGGTGCTATTGTCCGAGGAATCTTGCTGTGGAGTGGGCTCTAATGTATAGCAAGAAGTTTGGAGAGCTGAAGGAAGGGCCTTGTCTCATAATGCCACCACAGCTCGCCTCCTCAGCTCTTGTCTTGATCAGGGCAGTGTTGAAATATTTATTTACACCCTTTTTTAAACCCCAATTTGAACTATTATCTATGTATGACATGTACTTGCCTCTCGATTGCTCATGCAGCAGGGCAGCATGCTGGGGGGAGGAGCAGGGAAGAAAGGCAGCCGTCAGTCGGGATTGTCGTTGTGTTGCATGAAGTTTGGAGGTTTCTCGACGACTGAGGATTGCCGTGTGGAGCATCGAGACCGATCCTCCTACACCTGCGGATGAAGACTCGTGAATGCATTTGCGATGGTAATTGAGTGTTATGCGGGAGTCACATGCATGCTGAGTGGGATCCACAGAGGATAGCTGTTCCATCGATCATGTAGCAGGCACAGAACCGATATCCAGTCCATGCTTGTGAGAGCATTCGGGGGCCGAAAGGTCGTGTGCGATCACTCCACTTTGGCACTATGTCACCACAAGTTCCTACGAGTAAATGCAAGGGTGCTTCTACACCCAGAGGTTACTGAGTGGCTCGACTGGGCAAGTATGTACACTACCCAGAAAGAATCATGGAAAAAATATATCTATTTACGGTGACTTGAATTCATTCAGCTGTATTTAAGACGTCGTCAGTTCAGTTATTATATATGCCAGGCATGTTTCATGATGAACCTTCATCACAACTTCATAATGCCACAATCGTTTTGTGAGAGCGAATTGTTAGGTGGCCCTGGTCATTCATTACTATGTTTACGGAGGAGGAGGAGGTGGATTTGCGACCTGTCCAGTTCGCGGATGGCAAGAGAGGCAATGTAGTGAACCCCCCGGGTCCGCTCCCTCTGTCTTCCTCCCCTCTCTCCCTCCTCCTCCTCCTCCCCTCGCCGCGCCTTCTCTCTCTCTGTGCTCGGGCCGACTTGATGTCTCATTGGTTTTATAGGTCAGAGAGAACGAGTTCAACACTGTGACTGTGCCTTGGATACAGAGAGCTGCAGAGGGAAAAGGATGTGACTGTGCCTTGGATACAGAGAGCTGCAGAGGGAAAAGGATGTGACTGTGCCTTGGATACAGAGAGCTGCAGAGGGAAAAGGATGTGATTCTGCCTTGGATACAGAGAGCTGCAGAGAGGAAAGCCAGTCAGTACCACTCTGCTTCTTCCACTTTTGAATCAGGGTGCCTTTTTGTCCAGCAGATGTGAAGTGACATCAGGAGTGAGTGTGTGAACACAGTGGACAGCCTTATGGCACATTCAACTCTGGTGTGCCTTGGATGCAGGGAGCCACTGAGGAAGAGAGGTCTGCCACGGCCACCTGAAAGCCAGTGAATGCTGCTCAGCTTATTCTGCCAGCAGCTGGAATTTTCCTTTTAGATGGCTATGTGTGTCGGTTGAGCAGCTGTCAGTCGACACGAATTCGTGCAGAAGCTGTTAATGGATATCAGGAGAGAGAGAGAGAGAGAGAGAGACAGAGAGAGAGAGAGANAGAGAGAGAGAGAGAGAGAGAGAGAGAGAGAGAGAGAGAGAGAGAGAGAGAGAGAGAGAGAGAGAGAGAGAGAGAGAGAGAGAGGCAATGCTTGTTTGTTGAGCAGCTGTCAGTCAACACAAATTTGTTCAGAAGCTGTTATCAGGGAAGGGGAGAGAGAGAGAGAGAGAGAGAGAGAGAGAGAGAGAGAGAGAGAGAGAGAGAGAGAGAGAGAGGGAGCACCGGTAGATCGTGCAGGTCTTGAGATGGGAGATAGGGGTCCCAACCTTCTGAACATGATATTCCCTCAACGCGGTGCAGCGGCTCTGCTGATCTACAGTTCGACCCCTTCAGGCTGTCCTTTGTGCGGATTCCATGAGACAAAGAAGAAATCGAAGTGCATGTTGCTGGTGGGCTGACAAAGGAGTTACACACACAGCTTAGGGCTTAAATCGACGGAGCATTACTAAGAATAATGAGAGGTGTTTGTCTTTTTTTTTTTGTGTGTTCCAAGGGGAATGTGACGTACGGGTTTTGACAGCTTGTGCAGATGGCTTTCTAAATTCTTGCTATGTGTTTGTCTTGTGATCTCTTTCCTAGTCTCAGAAGGCAAGGAGGCTTTGTTTTTCAGTCTCTCTGGACTCTGTGAGCCTCTAGGCTCAGAATGCAATAAAACTGGGTGAAGTGTGGTTTTAGTTTCCACCCTGCCAAGAGGCTGTGATTTTTTTTGCCTCATTTGGAGGTGGGGGATTCAATAATAGGCGGATGATGGCTGGTCTGCTACATCTCTTCACGGGTTTTTATTATCCCAAGTTATACCTGTGCAACCGCGTGAGATCCAGTGCTGATTCTGCAGCCGGCAATGCTGCCGATGATCGATTGTGGTGTGGTCCCCGACATGCCTTAGAACGACAGACGTTTTCCTGGTCGGCTGGTTATTCTGTTGTCTTCAGTGTCCTCCCTCATCCCCAGCGTCTCCCCTGTGCTCCCCTCTCCCCCTCCCATCATTGGCGTATGATCCTACGTTCAGGCAAATTCCACCTCGAGCTTCTGAGGTTCCCAGTTTCCCACCAGGGGCATCGATCGCTACTGAGACCCTTCCCGTCTCCCTTGTGCTCCTCTCCCCTCCCATCTTTGGCATGATCATATGTTCAAGCAAATTCCACCTCGAGCTTCTGAGGTGTGATTTTCCCGCCAGGAGGATCGATCTCTCCTGAGACATGGTATGGCACTAAGAGGAGGAGGTGGGGGAAGAGAGAGAGAGAGAGAGAGAGAGAGAGAGAGAGAGAGAGAGAGAGAGAGAGAGAGAGAGA